CCAGTCATCCCACTTTGGAATTTAACCTTTGGCTACTCCGTGCGTGCACACAAAGACGTCTGCTCTAGGGTATTCTTTAAAGTGTGCTTATGGTAGCAAATTCTCTTAACAGCCTAGAGAGTTGTCAACCACGAATGGTAACATATCTATGGGTGGGTCCACCCTCCCTTACATGCATTTATTTGCTATCAAAACCTGATCTGAACTGACATGAAACTTACAGCCTTTGTCTATCCTACTTAGTATGAATATTCATACTTCCCTGCAGGTATGTTAATGTGTTTGATTATAGGGTGTTGTCCCAGGCCATAGTGGGACGGGATTACTTTCTAAATTCTAAAACAGTGAAACACATTTGGCCCCAAAAGTTTTCAAAGAAAGGACCATGTTTCTGTGCATTCACAGTAGAGCACTATGCAGCCATAAAGAGGAATGGATGAGATCTGTGCACATGTTCTGCTATGGAATGCTCTCCAAGACATGTTATTAAGTGAAAAAAAAAAAAAATCCAAGAAAAAAGCATCATGTGTCACTGTGCTATCACGGGGACAGAGAAGGACAGATAAGCTCTGCACAGTTGCATGTCTATGGAAGATTTCTTGAAGGACACACAAGCCATTGCTTACTGTGGTTGCTTCTTGGGAGGGCATCTGGGGCGCTGATATCAAGAGCACTGTGTCCCCTAAATACCCTTGGTATCGACTACCAGGTCAATCAGACTCTCTTTCTGCGTCTGAACTGGGAGAAGGAAAGGGAGGGAAGAGCAGGACAATGACAAGGTGCATAGACCAGAAAGGAGTGGTGGCATGTCCTCGGCAAGGGGCCTGCCACAATGTGGTTGCTGACACCTGTCTGCTACTGAGAAGGTGTGTGTGGAGGGCAAAGATGGCAGAGTGAAGGGCCCCCAAACACCAGACATGGTACAGAGAGGGTCATCCGGCTTCCCCCATCTCTGGAGGTAGCTGGAATCTTGGACTCCCTCCTTCGCTGTGTTCTCCTGAAATCCGGTTCCTCCTGGGCGTGGCAAAGATGGAAGGAGTCTCCTGTCTTTGCACTGAAAGGCTTTGCTTAATAGCAGGAAGTGCTCATGTGCACGCGCGTGTGCACGTGCGCTTGGGGACGCGTGCTTGTACGTGCATGCAAAGGGAAAGCTTAACGTTTTCTAGATGGTTCAGTTAAATGACTTTTGCAGTCCTTTACAAAGTGAGCTCAGCAGATGAGCGTGCTGTTAAGAGCATTTTTCAGAATCTCTGATCAGCTGCAGAAGAAGGCAGTCTATTATCACAGGAGCCTCTCAGACTGGTTCAGAGTAGGGGTGCTGGATCTAGCCTGCCTGGGGCCCACCTGCCTGGGGGCACACAGCCAGGAGACTGGAAGGATGGAATCAGCCCAAAGTCCAGCTGGAGTAAGGGAGACCCCTTCAGTAAGAAGTACAACTGTGCGCCTTCTCTGTCCAAGGACATGAACACCTCTCTGTTAAATATTAGACATGCTAAGAAATGATTAAAATAATGTAACAACTAACATTTATGGAATGCTTACTACGGGTCTGGCACTGTGCAGAGTCACTTTAACACATTATTGCCTAGTAAACAAAAATCTCAAAAGGCGGCGAGAGGGGTCAAAAGAATCGTCCAAGGTCATATGGCCGGGATCTGAGGCAGAAGGAGTACACTGTGGGTACTAATTCAGTGTCTTGGGGCCCCACAGTGCCATGGGTGATAGGATGGACGCTGGCGGGCTGATGAATAAAGATTTTTTTCCACCTTTGTGGTTTTCTTCTTTACTTTTTAAACACTGTGTGATAAATTTACTTCCTAATGATTTTTGAGTAAACTACAATGACCACAATTTCAAAATCATTAATAATTCATGACCAAGGGCCATAAACACTATATAATCTCCACAGGCAGAAACAATGAATACTTGTTAGAGACAAGGCCGAGAATATTTTTACCAGCTAAGCAGAAAGTATCTACCGTCTTCAAGCTAACCAAGAAACACATGTTTCAGAAAGGACTGTAGCCCTTCCAAAGCCTCGGTTCAGGCTGCCTCTTGCAGGGAGCCTGCTCTCCCTCCTGCGGCACCTGCTGGGGGTTCATCTGTGTCTGTGGGAGGCTTGAGAACAGGGGTGCCCCGGGGCCATGCAGGCATGCAGTGCTCAGGGAAGGACCTGAGCTGAGAGCCAGGGGTTACTTAATACGGACCAGGCACTGGCTCTCACCTGTGGCTGAGGGGGGCGGGGGGGGCAGGGGGGAGGTTATAAAATTTGGAAGCCTGGGTCCTACCCCCAGAGATTCTGATATAACTGGTTTGGAAAAAGGCCTAAACTCTGGGGTATTTAAAAAGCTCTGGGGTGATTCTAATGTGCAGCAATGTTTGTGACCACTGACACAAAGCCCTCGGCAAGGGGCCTGCCACAATGTGGTTGCTGACACCTGTCTGCTACCGAGCAGGTGTGTGTGGAGGGCAAAGATGGCAGAGTGGAGGGCCCCCAAACACCAGCCATTGCCCAGTGTTGCCTTATGGGAATAAGGCTCTGCTGTCATTCTCCATTTTATCAACGAAGCCAGAAGTGTGCGTTTTTTATGTGAAAATTGTAAATGTGGACAGCTAATTTTTGAAAAATGGAATAGGGTCTGGGCCAAATAAAACACATCTTTGGGCTGAATTTGGCCTGGCGAGCTCACTGCGAACAGCCTCCCCTCCTCCCTTTGCCATGCTGGCCCATGACCACACAGAGAACGACACAGTCCCAACCCAGGAAGGAAACAGCCCATTCACCTGCCCCGATGTGAGTAGGCCCATGTCACCTCACCACCAAAACAACATGACGTGCTTGTCTGCCTGTTCCAACCAGCTTGTCTCCTTGCCTTTCATAGTGACAAGAGTCTGATCTCTACCTGGCATTCTGTGTGAGGCACAGAGTGTCAGGAAGTGCAGATTTCACAGGTGATGGGGGAGGGGGGGAACGCGGAAGCAGGAAGTGGGCAGGAAAAGCATGTTCTAATAGATCAAGATGAGCATCCTGGCACCTTGCTAGTCATTTCTTTCTCTTGTTTCTCTAACCAAACAAAAGCCCTGTTAAGAGAGTCAGCACCCTCTTTTTCAGCAAAGGCCTGAAACCATTTTAAATATCTTTCAGGGTAAAACTTAAGGTATTGTGATAAACATCTCACTTTGCAGAAAAAGAGTGATCTGAAATGCTCTCGGGCAACTGGCATGATGGGAGTAGCCAGGAAAGCAGCAATTAGGGAGTCCTGTTGCCAAGGAGAAAGAGAGAGGAGGAAACGAGCAACTCAACTAGTTACCTGCTGCCCTGCTTTGTCGATTCCCAGCAAATCTCTTAAGGTGGATAAATGTGATGATGTTACTCTGTGACCAAAAACCTCGGTTAGGTTGAAACAGTTCGTTCCTGGCTTTGGGTGGGGGGGGGAGGGCTGGTCCCCACCCTAGGTCACTTCACCGAGGGGGGCTGGGAGCCTGCGGGCCTGTGCTCACTCCTGTTCCGGCTCTTCTACCCTCCAAGTCCCTGCAAGGACTTTGTGGGAGATACGTGCACCTGCTCCTGCTTCCAGAAAAATGTTCCTACAGGAAGGAGTGACAGAATTCACCCTGGTTCAGTTTCTAGAATGCCCACCAGGGCTGACATTTAGATGTTTTCAGCAGCACCAAAGTCCCAGCCCTCATCCCAGGTAGGTTGCTTAAATAAGAAGGAAACCCATGCCGGCTGTTCTGGCTACAGCTGAGGAAGGAGACAAGAGGGGACAGGATGACAGCCACTGCAAAGCACCCACGGCCCTTTGTGGTCCAACCCCAACCTGCTTCAGTTGGCTGAGGGTGAGGCCAACTCGGAGGATGCAGCATGTAAGTGCTGATGAATTTCAGGATTGGTGGATACTTATGACGAGCCTCATGCCTTCACACCCTTGTACCCCTACACCCATCTGTGGTTACATAAGACTCAAATTCAAACTCCCGTGAGCTTGAGACTTGATCCAAGGGCCCTGCGGTAACCTCTGGGTCCTTGCTTCCACTTTGTACCCTACAGCTCAGGAATCTTGCAACCTTCCTTACTCATGTCTGACTTTGACCATGCTTTTTAACTTGGCCCGAAAAACTGCTGCTCATTCTTCAAGAGGCAGCCTGCATATCAGCTTTTCCGCATGCCTTTCTAGAGACCACTGGCAGAGTCAGGTAAGCCCTCTTCTGTATTGAAATTCCACTCTCTTTGCCCTTCTCACATGGCATTATAATGACCCCGCTGCACATCCCTTCCATCTAGAGTGCGCACACCGTGAGATCAGGGCTGTGTCTCTCTCATCCCTTCTGCCAGGCACAGAGCAGGTGGGCTCAGTGTGGCAGGTCTCAAGAATGGCCACAAGTATTTGTAGCTTTCCCATGCAGAGGTGAGGCCTATTTCCCCACCCCTTCAATCTGGCCTGACCTTGTGACTTGCTTTAAAGAAAACCAAGTTGGCAGAAGGGACACCATGCTGGTTCTGAGCCCAGGGCTCAAGAGGTGCTGCAGCTTCCACTCTTCATGCTCTTGACCCCCTGAACCCCCAGAAGAACAAAGCTGGCTGGCTTGCTGGTGGATGAGAAAGCACTGAAAGAGAGCCAAAGCACACTACTGGTACTCAGCCGTCCCCAAGGTGACACAGTGCTCACTGCAAAGGCAGAAGTGAGTCCAGCTGAAATCAACAGAACTGCCGAGCCCAAACTGTCAACCCACAGAATCATGAACTAAATGCACCGATGTTGTGTGACATCCCTGAAATGTGGGTTTCATTTGTTACACAAAGTTAACTGATACACTTCGTAAGAGGTTGTTACTACCAGTGACACTTTGATTGAGAACTCGAGGTGCCCACTAACCTTTGGTCCGGGATTCAAGCTGGAGACTCCGAAACAAGTAGGAGATCCAGGAATACTTATTCACCAGCAGGCTCCCTTCAAACAGAGTTGCCTCCCACCCACCCTCACCAGTGACACATTTACCTCCTTTTTCTCCCGTGAGCATGACCGGCCTCTGTCAGCCTTTCGCAGGGTCTGACCTGTAGCAGTTCAAAAGCAGAACCAGAGATTAAGGCTATTTTAAAACAGCTAGTTTATCACCGCAAAAGCTTTTTATTTGCAAACTGAATAGACGGGACCAATCATAATCAAATGATTTTTTTTTTAAGATTTTATTTATTTATTCATGAGAGACAGAGAGAGAGAGAGAAGCAGGCTCCCAAGGAGCAGGGAGTCCGATGCGCGACTCGATCCCAGGACTCTGAGATCATGACCTGAGCCGAAGGCAGACGCTTAACCATCTGAGCCACCCAGGCGCCCCCATAATCAAATGATTTTAAGAAAATGTAGCCTATTATTATAGTGGGAAAATGGCATACTCTTGAAATAGACCAACGAAAAGGAAATGGTAATTCACACACTCACGTTATTTGACTGTAATGAACAAAGCCTCAGCTCCTTAATCTGGAACATTATCTGCACTCTGCAAGGGCCGACAGTAGATTTCCCAGTCGAATTACATTTTTATTAAATTGTTCGGAATTATATAAAATGCCTTCCACAAAAATGCCTTCCACTGTGCGCATACACATAACCATTGATGAGTGCACACCAATGTGCTTCACCAAACCCCCAAACTCACCACTGAGGTGATGGTACAGATGTGAATTAGCAGTAATCACCCACATTTCCCATATAACGGGCAATTTCAGAGAGAATGTTGATTTTCTTAGAACACCAAAGACTAGCATTTGAAAGTATGCATAAATTCAAGAGCTCAACATCATAAGGTTTAAATATGCTGTTCCAAATGCACTTTCCACAACTTTTATGGAAGTGTCCATTTCAAAAGGATTCCTTGGTGGAAAATTAATGGATTGCCTTTAAATGGGAATGCCATAAAATGGGAACCTCTGTGCAGTGTCCATGTGTCTTCCAAATTATCCAGCTTTACTCTCAGGTGGCTGTGTGTGAGAAAATCAGTACCACATGTCCCATTAGCCAAGAATACTCCAAAGCAGGAGCAAAAAGACAGCGATGACTTATTGAGAGGCAAGACGTAGGGACTGAGTCTCAGAGGAAAGATGTTTGTCTCTGGATGTGGCCACTTCCAGTAGGTCTACACAGGTGTGGGGGGTGGGGGGTGGGGGACCTCATAGCCGGTGATGAAGCGCAAGTCACTCTTTCCAAGAGAGTGAGAATAAGGGGAAGAGCGAAGGTCTGAAGATGAACCTCTGGCAATGGCCAGAATTTGGGGCCAATATTAATAAAGACTTTGGAAAAGAGGCAGCTGGAGAATTTATAGGAGACCCTGGATTATGCAGTATCATGGATGGTAGACGTCTTTTGGGTTATCTGCTCAGCTCATAAGGACACCCTAAACTGCCTCCTTCTCTCTCTCTCTCCTCCCTGTCCTCAGAGGGGAGCTCCAAGATGATATAGGACCCCAGCCTCAGTATGGTGCACTGGGGATGGACGCCTGACCCCACCACAGTCAATCAGAATCCCAGCTCCAGGAATTGAAATTGGTTTGGATAGACAAAGAAGAAAGAGGGCCGGAGCAGGGCTATCTCCATGTACGAACTTTGATGCAGTCAGAAGCCACCTGCCTCGGGGGACAGACTACCAGAGAATGCCAAGGCAGAACAAAGTGATCTGAAACTGACTACGTACCTGCCCTTGTGTTCCACAGACACTCACTTAACTGAGTACCACTGAGGTGCTGGATGCCAACAGTGGGGGGAGGCTGTGTGTGTGTGCGCGGACGGGGGATATATGAAAACGCTCTGTACTTCCTACCCAACTTTGCTATGGACCTAAAATTGCTCTAAAAAATAAGGTTTATTCATTTAAAAAATTAAGAAAAAGGCCCAGAATTAAGGATCAGGGGATCTGGGTTTTTGGGCCCATTTTATCCCAACCTCCTGACCCCTGATGCTCTGGAGGGAGGAACCAGCGTGGACAGCTCCCAGAAACCTTTGACCGCCCCTGCACTAGCTGTCAGTCGAGGGACTCACTATGGAGAGGATGACATGCCAGGTCGTAGGCCACACAGGGCAGAGCCGAGAGCCAGGAGATTGGCCTAGAGCTGGAAGGGGACAGGGAGGGTTGGAGACCAGGGGTCAGACCAGAGTGTTCTACCAACAGAAGCAAGTGTCGAGGCAAGTTAAGATGCCAGCAGGGAAACAGGCCCAGAACAAAGCCAGAGAGCAGAAAGGAAGCAGAGCTAGTCCAGGGGCAAGCACGGCAGTCCCCAGGGTCTGGCTGCAGCCCTTCTAGTGTTGGGCAGACACACGCTTAGGGGCCTGGTCCAGTGGACAGCGGACCAGTTACGGGATCTTGGATAAGTCACAGGATACCACAGGATCCTTCTGGGCCATATTTTCTTCCCTTTTTTTTTTTTAATTTTAAATGAGAGGCTGAATCACCTCTGGGGTTGCTTTTCATCTCTAAAATTCTGTTCCACCAACAGAGAACAGTAAGAAAAACATTAAGGTGGGCCATAAAAGCAACACATTAATATAAAGAACACAGAACTTAACTACTGAAATTTGAAAGCAAATCTCTCTACTGGAGTTCATTAGAAGCTGCTTATTCATTAAATTGGAAAATAATTTGCTTATTTTCCAATGAAGATAATTCGCTCTGATTATGTACACTTGTAATCTAACGCCCCGTCCTCACACCACTGAGCCCCTCTCTCCTCTGGGCAGCTCCACGTGGAGGCTGCTCCTTCTTGCCAAGGACAGAAAGAACGAGATTACACTGGACCTGTCTACTGCACTCAGCATCTCTAAGTATCTTCTTACTTATATCTCGTTGTATTCTCACGACACTCAGGGAGGGAGGTGGAAGATGGTGACACTAATATCAATAGATGATGCTTGCAAAATTGAGGGGGTGTTCCCCTGCATTTTGCAAGGTGACCTGTCAGTTTCAGCCCTGAGACGATAAATAAGGCCAAATGTAAATGATACATGTGTAACTCACATTATAAAACAGACGTGTGCCTGGGAAACAGGAAAAAAAAACCAAAAACGAAAAAGACATGAATGCATATATTCTCCCACTTAGGACATCAGAGATTTTATCCACGCTTTCGATTCATTTTTGATGGTTAGAAGATTCTGACACTTTGGTTTTACTTTGCTCTAGATGCAGCTCATAATATTCAGAGCTACCATTCAGAAGGGAGGTGCGTCTTCCTTGGATGTCAGCTTCTGAAACCACCAGGCAAGGGAAAATCAGCATCAGAATGACCCTTAAAAGAGCCTAAGCCTCCTGTGAAGTACAGTCCACAGGACACAGCCTTTTCTATCCATTGCTGTAGTCTACTGCACGTGTGAAATATTTGGTGCATATAGACATGTACGGTACATGATAAAAATACATATGCATAATATCGTTTTGCAGTATTTCTAACTAAATTATTCACATGGTAATTACTCCCTCTGTTTTTCCTATAGGGTAGAAGGAGAGTGGGAGGGGGGAGGGTGAGAACCGGGCACCAAGTTCATGAATGTTAAAGTTTGGGGGACACAGCTCCACTGAACTGGACACCTACTCTGTGCCATGATCAATGCACAGGCTTGATCTCCTGCATCCTCACAACCACTGCTGTGGGGCAGGGGTCAATAAACTTGTCCTGGAAAGGGCCAGGGAGTAAATATTTTTTTTTTAAAGATTTTATTTATTTATTGGAGAGAGAGTGAAAGCAAGAGAGATCACAGAGGGAGACGGAGGAGCAAACTCGCCGCTGAGCGGAGAGCCCGATGCGGGGCTGGATCCCAGGACCCTGAAATCATGACCTGAGCCAAAGGCAGACACTTAACCTACTGAGCCACCCAGGTGCCCCTGAGAGTAAGTATTTTTTACCGTACAGGCCGTAAGTTCATAAAATCATAAAGTCTCTGGTGCAACTACTCGACTCTGCCATTGTGGTGCGAGAGCAGTGCTAGACTGTATGTAAACAAATGGGTACTGCTGTGTTCCAATAAAACTTTATTCACAAACACAGGCGGCAGGCTGGGGTTCGCTCCCAGGCTGTAGTCTGCTGACCCTTGCTCTAGATGGACAGTACTATCCCCTTGGTACCAACCAAGGAAGAAATGAGAAACAAACTTTGAGGGGATGAATGAGCTGCTTTTTCGAGGTCACAAAAATGTAGCTTGTAAGTGACAGGCTGTTCTTAATGACTATCGTCACTAACATCCTCACCATCACAATCATATTAATCATTGTTACTACCATGTGAGCTCACCTTAAGTCAGGTTTACTCTGTGCCAGGCACTGAGCTCCAGGCTAAGTCCATGAATCAACCCATTTACTCCTCTCAGCTACCCAAGAAATACTATCCTGCTTGTCAGATGCGGTCACTGAGACCCAAAGAGGTTAGGAGGCTTGCCCCAAATTACCCAGCTAGTGAGTTGAGGAGCCTTGATCTGGATCTGAGCAGTCTGGCTCGGGAGCCTGCACTCCTAACCACCGGACCACACTGCTCCTCAGTCAGGGCATTAAAGACAAGTACAGAACACAAGAATAGACTGGGGAGGGAGTCTGATGTAAGCAATTCTTTCTGTGATGCAGCTTCATAATGTACTTTGGGTTCCTAGAGCAATTAGTAAGGGGGTTAGATGAAAATGATTTCCCAATGAACAAAGAAGACGGCGTTGCCAGCCAGCCGGGTAAATGCCGTAAGATGCCAAAAATGGTAAGGCAGGCTTAGCATTAGACACTCATTCCCATCTACTCAGGTGAAATGCTCAGCCTTGACAGGAAGGGTTGGGCTTTAGAGAATAAATCCAGTGGAAATCTTGCAGGCAGAGAGGGCCCATGTAGGGACCTCCCCACCACAAAGGAGCTTTGAACAAAGAACTTGTTTCTCTCCACTGGGGTGATGGTACCGCCATGAGGTTACAAAAATGAGCTTATTTCTTCCATTGTCCAAATAGGACTTATGTTGCTCTCATTTTAAATATCTATGGAATTTAATTTAAATGACAAATATCCCACTGAAATACCACTTAATCTCACTAATCGG